TTGCCAATTGTGTATAACAGATTGCCCTGGATTTAGTGTTTCACATTGTTGGTGTCTAATTCATGTTTATATTAAGTCTTTTTTAAATTCCCAATGATCCCTATTACCTTTGACATTTGAACTAATTTTATCAAATTCAGTCTCCCTGTCATGGTCTGTGAACTTCTAGGTCACTAATCAATGTAGGATCATCAGATAATTCATGCTGGAAAGGACCTGAGGAGGTTCCTAGCACAGCCTCCTGCTCAAAGCAGGTCGGCTCTGAGATCAGAGCAGGTTGCTCGGCTCTATATCCAGTCTAGTCTTGAAAACCTCCAAGGATGGAGATGACACAGCCTCTCCAGGCAACCTCAGTTTTTCCTTATGTCCAGTCTAAACCTCTGTTGTTTCAAATTGCTCCCAGTGTCTGGTTCCCATCTTCTCGATGACCTCGCTGTAGGAGCGGCAGGCTGCTGTTACGACCCTGGTATGCCCAGGGAAGTCTCCTATCCAAGTACTAAGTGTGCCCAACCCTGCTTTAACTTCAGAGATCAGAGGAGCTCAGGCGTGTTGTATGGCATGACCCCAGGCAGATGTGAACCAGTACTGCCGCTGTCCTGTTTCTGGAGGAATTTCACTGTTAACCTGCTGAAAATTGCCCCTGCATCCCTTCTCTGTTGGATACGGTTTAGCCTAAGCGATTTCCAGTCTGATGCAACTTCTCACCTTATGACAACTGAGCTTCTCTAGCAGCCTTTTGTAAAGGTTTTGTCAAAAGATTTCTGAAAGTCAACACTAATTACATGTACCCGTGTTCCTCACTGCTAATTTGACACACTTCAGGAATTCTAATAGAGCCCATCAGAGACATGACTTCCCCTTGCAGAAGCCAGGCTGCTTTGTCACGATGATAATTTGCCTGGTTAAGTGCTCTGTAGCTGTGCCATGATCGAGTTTTACCTTTTCACGTAATTAACCCAGTTCTGATGCAGGACTTTCTGGTCTGTCTTGATAAGATTTTCTCTCCCCTGATGTTTCCCTTTAAAAACAGACACCACATTGCCTGCCCTCTAGTCTTGTGAGGCAGGAGCTGGTTTTTTCGTGATAGGTAATGTATTTTTGGTAGCAGCTCAGGCAGTGCCTTTATGAGTTCCTGGAGAGTTTTGGGTGAGCGCCAGCCAGCAGAGATGACGTGCTGCAAACCAAAGTGGTTCGGATGTTCCATGAGCCACTTTTGGGATCTCCTGAGATTTTACCTGCCTCCTCCACGCTGCCCATGCAGAAGGGCTCGCTGGGCTCTCCCACCCGTCGCTGTGGAAGGACCGTGTAAGCAACGTTCCAGTTCACATCACTGCAGTTACTGGCCTTTACCAGCAACTTTTTTGGGGGAGGTTTCAATGGTGCTTTCCTTGCCCGCAATAGTCTGTGCCAGTTTCTGGAAACTTTTGTTTCAAAGAGGCTTTTTCTGGCAGTATGGTGACCTATATGCAAACAAATGCACAGCGTGTTCTTTTGAGCCAGAGAAAGGCTTGCTAAGACATTCTCTCTTCGGTTTGAAGAAATACCAAGTGTGTAGCAATGATTTCCATGAAGAAGGTTCTGCAAACTAAGCACAATACTGAATTCAGCAAAAAAATTATGCAGTTTGAATTAACACTGTATAAAAGACTTCCAGCCTGGCTTGCCTCAGAGTTCAAAGTTAATACTCAATCCCTACTTTTCTCTTCGGAGGAGAGCAAAAAATAAAAAAGGTGGATTCTGCTGATTTTCTTGCTACTACGTGCCAAAGCCCTGCGGTGACCTTTTCTCTTTGCACTCTAAACCCCTTTCCCTGTGAAAATGAACAAAATACTTCCCAGTGCAAGGTTTCACCGTCTTGCTCCTGTCCCGCAGGATAAAGCGCTCCTGGAGAGGAAACACCTCGTGCCTGGAGGTCACTCAGTCAGTGGCAGATCGTGGAAAAGGGAAGCCCGTAAATCACTTGTGTTGAAACACTAAAAGCTGATAAATAGGTGGTCCTGAGCTGTAGCCTAGCCCCGGTTTCCCTGTGCGCAATGGAGGGCTCAGGGTGCATCCTGGAGCGGGCAGGGGCACGGCCAGGGGAAGTCTGTGTCGGGTAGCCGCCGGCCAGGGCATCCATGTGGATTCTCAGCGGCTGTGGGAAGGGGCACGGCGTGGATCCACTTTTGGGAAGCCCCTGGAGACACAGCAGTAGCCTTGGGAAAGCATGGCGATATAGGCAGCTGGGTGGAGCTCCTTCCCAGGAGCGTAGCTAGGGATCCGCTGGAGCGGACGGTGCGATTTACGGCCCCAGTATCTCAGTACCGCATCGGTCAGGTTTCCTAGCACAGAAGGCAGGCTCGCTCACCAGCGGGGAAATACACCGTGGTATTTTCAGCATTTCACAGGGCATGCAATGAATTTTTTTTAAAAATACACTTGATGAGAGCTGTAGTTAAAAAGCGGGAAATTACTAATTAGTAACCAAGTAATTCAGGGTTTGATTCACACAAATTGCACTATTACTGTAGAAAAGGATTTCAATTTCAGGCAAACAGTGGTTTTTGTTTTTTTAAAAAAGGCACTGAAAATATAATTGATGTTCTGTTCATTACCTGCCAGGTTTCAGGTTTCTTGTACATTTTTTCATCGTCTGAGACATTACAGGCATAAGATATGCCTGGAAAAAAAGGAAAAAAAAAAATCAATGCTTTCCCCTTTGCATTGTCATTTGCAACTCTCAGGTTTTCCCACTAGATTGTTCTTGTAAACTCTTGCGTTTCGTAGCACGCAAGAGTGACCACTTAGAACATCATTGTAACACTATCGTTAGCATCAGCGTTCAGTTACACAGAAAGCTATGAGTGGGATGAGCTGAGTATCGTTTTCTCTTTTACCTTACCAGAGTGCTAATAAAATGATTGCTGTCAATTTTTCTAGTTAGTCTCAATTTATGAGGAGAAAAAAAAATAATTTAATTTTCTTCTGGTTAAGAAATCCATCCAGTAGCATAAAAAAACCCAAAGTGTCTCCCTCCCCTACCTATATGCAGATCAGTAAGCAGCTATGTATCTTCTCTCTAAAGTCAGTGAAAGGCTAATCTGGGTTGGTTGGGTGGGTTTTTTTCTGTTCATGTAGGCATTTCAGCTGCATACTCAGAAGTGTAGCGTAAGGCAGCAGTAAATATTGAAAATACCAGGAAAAGAGAAGCTGTAAGCATCCCATTAAGACTTCCAGTAATACTATGGTTTTATAACGTTGGCAAAAGTACCTGTTTTGTAGAAAGAGTCATCATAGCGAATGGCTTAAAAGTATTCCTGTAAAGGTGGGAAGATGGAGTTATGGTTCAGAAATCTAGTAAATACTTACAAGTAACAAGCAGATGCTCTTAAGTCCATTCTTGTCTAGATTATTAGTATCTTTCAAATGACACTGTAGGAAAACGGTACCCTGGTTTGAACTCATGGCAAGAGATACAGTTTCAAGTCGTGTTATGTCTACTCGTGTACCTGGATATTGTACTAGCAAAGGAAAAAGCTGCAGAGATCCACATTAAAAAGTCGCAGAGAAGGAATTTCTCTGCTACTCGCTATAGTGGTCAGGTATTTACAGTGCAGCGATATTATACCAAAATGCCGCCGTCTGTTGCCCTTAGCCCTGTGTGCTCTGAATTTTACCTCTCAGAAGGCGGATGTTGTTCGCAATAAGAAAAAAAAAATCCTTAAAATACTTGAAGTTTGTGCATTTGCACAACTTTCCTTTCAGCAGCAGATAGAATACTACATACAAATAATCCTTTTTCCTATGTAAGCCCTAAAACAAGTGTGTTAGGGTTTTTTGGGAGTATGTAGTATGTTCAGACACAGCACTAGGCATTTATACTTTTCTATTCAGAGAAATTGAAATGGGAAAATAAGGCAAAGAAGATTTAGTCTGATGCTGGGCAGAAAGTTCTGGGTAAAAGAATTACTTCAATGTGTTCAAGTGTGAAGGGGTTCATGTGGTCTTGGATCTTGGGGGAAGCTGATCTCCACCACCATCACCACCCCGTGTTCAGAGGCATTACCAGTTCTACATGTGTCAGAAATTGCAGAACATCAGGCAGAGAAGTTCCTAGCTCAGACAGTTGTAACGGGTGTCTTACATCCTTCCAACCTCTGCTCTGCTGTCAGGGGAGGGAGACTCCTCTGCAGGCAGGAGCAGCCCCCGCACCCACGTGCTGCCCTGCCACCCTGGGGCTGGACCTCCACATGAGTCGAGGGATTTTCTTGGGTCTGTGAGTCTGGAATTCAGAAATTTTCTGTGAATTCTCTTTTCTGTAAATGGCGTTAAACCACTGGTGAAGGCATTTTGCTTTAGCCATACCTGGAAACAGATTTCTTCTGAAGCAACTAAACATCTTTCTCTCCTCCTTAAGGCTTAAAATTACTCTAATTCTGATTGAGAAATGAAGTCACTGTAGTTAGTGGCTTGTCTTCATCAGGTATGGTTCAACCTTGCCTTTCACTTGAGCCAAGATCTTCAGTGTGAACACGCAGTGCAGCCTGTCTGCTGGAGAATAGTCTGGGGTTTTGAGGGTTTTTCCCTTAATCTGAAAATACCAGAAGCAAGCACAAAGCCCTTTTTTTTTTCACTATTAGAAGACCTGACAGTCAGTCTTGCTTTTTTTGTGAAAATCTTCTAAAATTTCCCATGTCCCCATATTGTTGCCTCTACTAAATCAAAAATTGTAAATGCATAGTAGGTGGTTGAAGGAAAGCACTTTGCACTCCATCTAAACCCTGTTTTGGTTTTGAGGGGGGAAGTTGGGGGGGAGTAGGTAATCGAAGTGCAGCAGAGTGAAAGCCAATGGCAACGAACACCCTTCAACTTGCTCAGATTGAAGAATTGATGGGCTGCTTGGCCATGATCCTGGGGTATCCAGAAACGGGGCAGCATCCCACTGCACCACGTTCGCCCGGCGACTGCGTTGCTTCTCACCACATTGTGTTTTCTGCCTCCCTTCTCCCCTGCAGGGTGTGAACGGCATGTCTGTGGATGAGAAGACTGACTCCCCCATGTATGTGTATGAGTCAACGGTGCACTGTACCAATATTCTCCTCTGCTTAAATGACCAGCGGAAGCAGGACATTCTCTGTGACGTGACGCTGATCGTGGAGGGGAAGGAGTTCCGCGCCCACCGGGCTGTGCTGGCTGCCTGCAGCGAGTACTTCTTGCAGGCCTTGGTAGGGCAGACGGAAAATGACCTGGTGGTCAGCCTGCCGGAGGAGGTACAGTATGTCGCCGTGCCCCCACTGTAAACACGAGCCCCCTCCATCCCGCGTGGTGAGGAAGACCTCCGTGGTCCATGAAGGTGGTCAAGGGGAGCGTGGCATGGGTGTCGGTGCCTGCCCCAGCATGCCTCTGGATGTGGGTTTTGTGTTTGGGTGGGTTGCAAATTGCTGAAGGATGGACATGTTCACGCCAGCCTTCCTCACCACCAGTAACTCCTAACAGTTATGGGGGCAAAGCTTTAAGATGCTTCAGCTCACCTTTGTCACTGCTGCCGAGGGAGTCGTACCCAAACGCTTAATTACTGTGACTTCGTTCAGGGTGTTATCAGGACCCTGATATTCTTCTGCTCTTCCAGACAGGAAATTTGAAAGGGATGATGCGACTGCTAGCCAGCAGGTTATTGTTAAAAAATCATTTGAGCTGTCACCTTGTTGGGAGCCTCATTGCTGTCCACCCCTCTTCGGCAGCTCATATCCTCATCCTCCTCTTTCCCCTCTCCTGCACCTCATTCAGCCTTGCTTCCTCTCGCCTCCGCTCACAACAAGTTTGGATTTAACTGCTTCGGGCCATGTGTTTTCCACCGAGAAACCATGAACACGGTCTGTCAAAAAGCAGGGTTTTTCTTATGCGGCATGGCTCCCACAGCAGGAAGCCAAGGAACGTAGAAAATACGTACCTCACTGGAAAGTTAAGTTTATTTTACCACAAAATCTGACTGCCTGGCTTCCACCCCCACTGTAATTTCCTCACAGCTGTACAGCCATGACAGCACAGCTACTGTAGGGCACGCCGCTGGCCTCGTTGCCCACAGAGGGGAGAGGTGTGCCGGCTGGGCCGGGCTGCCGTCACCCACCGCCTCAGCACTGCCTGACCGGCATCTCTGGTTGGGACGAGCAGCACGAGAAGGGTGGTGAGGTACCCATGCATGGGACGGCAGTTGCTCAGTGGGAAGGTACTTTGGGATACAGAGGGTTTTTCACCATCATTTGCTTAACGCCCATGGAGCAGCACGGTGTGTTTTTAAATGATGACGGGTCCCAAAGTGTCTCACCCCATTTTTCCACCTCTGGTTTAGCCCTCCAGAGACTTCAACAGCATCGTGATGTTGTCACGGCACAAGTTGGAGAGCATTAGAAGAAATAGGTCACCGGTTGTGACTTCACGAGCCTTGACACTGAATATTACTCATGAAGCAATTTCAACCCAGACATTTTGCATAGGAGTTTAGAGATATCGCAGAGGACGCGCTAGGATGCGCACTGATTCTGCAGCGTCCACTAATAATTTCCAGTGGAAGAATCGAGTGTCAGTCAGTGTCTCATAGCTATCGCACCGCAAAGCAAGGGCAGGAGCAGAGAGGTGACAAAACATGCCCAGGGGTGCACAGGTACAAAGAGGCAGGAGAGTATCAGTGCTCTTCTACAAAGCCTTGGTGAGACCTTCAGGTATGATTCAGGTCCTATTAGGTAAAGAAAAATAATTTAAATTCAAATAAGAATATACAGGAGTAAGCGTATACTGAGATGTTCAGAAGAAGGAGCCAGGCCTAAAGGAGGAGAAGGCAAGACCATGGCAGGTTCATACTGCTGGTGTGACAACTGAGACGTGCTACAGCTCTGTGTGGGCAGAGGAGATGGAACAGCTGAGAGGAGGAGTTTCTCTTTAATACTAAAAGACAGTGGTGACACAAGCATTGATTGGTTTCAACTGGCGTTTGGTAAAAGTAGATTGGCAATTAGCAGCTTTCTAATCACAGGAGCAGTGAGGTGCTGTGCTGCAGGCCAGCGGGAGGAGCAGGGGGCTGGGGGCATCCTGGTGTGACTGCACTTGGTGACCCAGTCCTATGTTCATGTGACACCGAAGATTTAAAGCACAAAGGTTTGTCTTTTTGTGTGTTTCGTATGAGATACTATGTTAAAAAAATTCCTCCACTCCAACCATAAATGATTTCCATTTAAGTGAATCCCCTTTGGATAACTGAAGTATTGGAGTTTTACGTTTTAGAATATATCTCAATGAAAGATTAAAGAGTTTTAGTGACTTAGGGTTATACGGGCTGCTGTTTCAGTTCCAGTGAAGTCTATGGATTTGCAGAAGCAGTGAATCTAGTTCTTAAGGATTTTCCCAGTACTCTGAAATTGTCACGCTTCACTTAAGACCACCACTGTTACTTTGCCACATGCTATTATTAGTTGCAAAGCGCCAAGGCTTTAACTTTCTCATCCTGCAAAAGAACTCTCTTAGCCTGTTAAAAAAGACTCTTACAGTTACCAATGCTTACTTGTACAGATATTTTCAACGTGCAAATTAATTGCTGTTAACTGCATTGAATCTAATTTGCTTGGTGGCTACTTTCTTTGAGTAGCTATATGGGAGGTGGTCAGTTAAATAATTTCCTTACAAATGGTAGTCACTTGGGGTAAAGAGATTAATTACTTCATTATTTCTCAGTTATTCCGTGGTTAAGGTGCTGCTTCTGGGGTTGCTCTGCTTCAAAGTGTTGGGCGCTTTGGTAGTTGCCTGTGCGTACATATGGGAAGTGCCTCCGACAAAGAACAGTGTCGGAGCTCCCCGCGAAAGGAACTGAAACGCTCCTGGGTTTTAAAAGCTGTTAGAGCGGGGAAACACCATCTTTGTTATATTGCGTTAAGAGAAGTTAGCAGGATCTTTTTCAGTTCAGTAGTGAATGGCTCTTCCCAAAGCTATTGTTTTTAGTTCATGGTCTGCAGAGCTCTGGCAGCCCGTGAGTTATTTCTAAAAGGTATCTGTGAAAACTGACTTAATCTGTCATGTAGGGGGTTATTACTCCAGGGGAAAAATTTGAAACAAAAGTTGAAAGTTAATGTGCTGAGCCAATACTTTTTTCAGGCTTAAAGACAGTTTATGTTGGTATGTAGTTGTTCTGGAAAAACAGAGATTGAAACTAATTTTTAAATACAGTCTCACAGTTCAAAACTTCCAAAGGTGATGATCACTCGTAAATTAACAAAACTGTTTTCAAGTTCAACCGTACATGCGTTGCATTTTAAATTCTGGCGTAATTTGAAAACTGCTAAAGTACACAGTTGTGGAGAAAGGGCATTAGTCGTAGTAGTAGCAGTAGTATTTCTGAAAGGTTTGATGTTGGAGCTGGATAAAGCTTTATATATAAAGCTTTTACACTCATGTAATGTTGGTGTGAGGGAGCTCAACATCAACAGAAAAGAACTTCTTTTTGATTATTCAAAGCAGTAAATCTACCTCTGAAGTCTAAATTGCAGACTTTTTTTTTTTACTTCATAGCATGTTGGGGTCTTTTTGTTAATCTGGCTTCCAGACATTGTTAACTGTTGTCTAGCTAAACAGGGAACAGATGCTTTTTACATTATTTCTTGTTTATATCCAATTACAAGTGAGAGCCAACTTCATGATACGCCAGTCGTTTCGGTAGGGAGACATTGTGCACACACAGAATTGGGACTAGTTGAACTTTCAGGGTTCTAAACCGCTGCAAAACTTTGTATTAGACGTTTCAGGTCACTTCGAGCATGACTTAATGTGCCTCAGCTCAAACCTTCCCCTAATCAACTTAAACTAAGTCAGTTTGGAGCTAATTCTGCTCTGATTGAAGAGTTTATGTAAACCATTTTGTGCTAGCCTCGGTAATTCGATTTCGTACTACACCTTTTGTTAAAGCAACATATTTCAGGGTGTAGATAAGTGCTTGGAAAAACAGCTGCGTAATAACAAGGGCTCAGATGTGGCCGTGGTGTGTGAATGATCAGCCCTCAGAGCAGAGTTCGAGGAATGCAGTGTGTCTGCTACCCGCAGCTAATATAAAAGGACTCTCTTAGCTCTTAACTTCTGCAGTTTTCTCTTCATTTGCAGTCTTTGGTAAGCAACTAGAGCCTCACTTGCTTTTCACCCAGGGTATTTTTCAGCAATGATGCAGTTTTCCTCTAGCAGCTGCTGTTAAATGCAACCTAAAATTAATATTTTCCAAGAACTGAATTTAAAGCTGTAAAGTTAGTCATTCACTCTATACCCCTAACTGTTGTTTTGTTTTATTTAATCACGAAAACTGGTCTTCCTTCCTTTAACAAGACACTTAATTAAGCTTTTAATTCATGATAAGAAGTTAAATGGCACTTAGGAGGCTTTTTTAATGGTTTCCACTTCCCATGCAGATTACAAAAAAAGGTGTGATAGAGAGAGAGACACGGCTGTCAGCCAGGGGCATTGTAGGTCATGCCAATATTAGCTGGCAGCAGGCCATTATCCAATTAACATTGCTTCATCGCTGCAAGTAATAGCTCTCGAGTAGATGATTGAGTCATTCATGTTGTAGTGGTACTCTGCTTTACTTGAGAAGGAGCCAGTGCTTCGTCAAATAGGCTTTTTATTCGCTATTATTACCTGCCTGGCTTTGCTAATAGAAGTGCACAGCGAGTCTATGTGGGCAAGCTGAAAGCTGGGCGCTGGACGGAGGAGCATCGTCTGTGCAAACGTCTTAATTCACTTGGCTTTCTGAAAGCTGAGGTTGCAGTTAAATGGTGAAAAGACAGAAACAGCAACAACAAATAAAACCCCTCAGTTGCATTAGATTTCTACAGCTTAGAAATGATGAAATTCCTGACCTTGCTTGCGTTTTTTTGACTTTGGGGTGTACATTTGAAAAAACCTTCACCTGGTCATTCCAACCATGAGAGCACCAAATGCCTTTCTCTTTGGTGAAGTTAAACACAGGTCTTCTGAAGTAGTAGACCAGGGTTTCTCTAGCACTGGTCTGATGCTGTCCTTTCTGTTGTAAAACCAACTTGCTTCTCAGGTAGGCTGGTTAGTTTTACTTGTAACCCTCAAATTTTTGAATCTGAAGATTCAGGGTTACTGGTGACTTTTTTTAGTGCAATGAACTATCTGCTGGAAATGTTGCCTTCCAGAAGGATTAAATGGAGTTGTCTGTGGCTTACAAATCTCCCAAGGGGCAAAGGGAAGCAGCATCTCTTTTAGGAAGAGG